TTAATTATGTATATAAATTTATGCTTTAGAAAGACACAATTTGCTCCGCTGCATATAGTTAGCAGTAAATCATCAACACTTGGATTTGTAAATCTTTGAATCCCTTTGACTTTTCCCTAGTCACACTCTTGAGAAATTACTAATCTCTTGAAAAGGAAAATTATGAATGGCAGAGCAGAAAACTGTATAAGAAGAGAGACTTGGTGACTTGCATGTAGCAAAATAACTCTTTTGAGGGCAATGATTTAGAAAGAATCTAAAGTTTGTTCCCAAGGAAATAGTCGAGGAGATATATCATGACGCACATTTAAAAATTGTCTATATGCAAGTGAATAACAAGAAGACTCTATTACTTTCCTAATTTTTTTAAAAATCTTTGCTTACTTTTGAGAGAAAGAGAGAGACAGAGTGTGAGCAGGGGAGGGGCAGGGAGAGAGGGAGACACAGATTCTTGAAGCAGGTTCCAGGCTTTAAACTGATAGCATAGAGCCCAAAGCATGGCTGAAACTCACAGATAGTGAAATCATGACCTGAGCCAAAGTCAGAGGCTTAACTGACTGAGCCACCTAGGAACCCCTCCTAATTCTTTCTAATGTTTTCTGTATGACTCTACCAAATGGAAATGCAAATAAAACGTATCCTATCTGCACCTGCTATTTAGGGAGGCTCCTGGGGGCAAGAGGTGAGGTGGAGCTAAATGCATTGGTCTTAAAATATATCTGAATATCTGAATACAAAACATCTGAAATATTTATTTCCAGAGCCTTGCTCTATGCTAGATTCTTCCCTTTCCTTCTCCAAAAGTCCCAAAATGGGTCTAGGCAAAAGACAATAAAACTTTACCTTTCACTTTTGCACACATGGGAAAGTCCAACCAGCTCACACTGTGGGCATTAGAATTATGGGCTCCCCTAACAATATGCTAAGACAGGGCTGGCAAGAATCCTGTCCTTTTTCCTTGACCATGCTCAACAATATCTAGCATGCTATCATGGATAGAATGTGGAATAACTGATTGCCATTGACTTGGAAAAAAAAGGGAGGGTCTACTTTCCTCTTTTGCTTTCAAATTTTCTAGGAGGCCCACCTGAGGCCATGACAAAGGGATGTGCATGGCCCAAGGACACTAGTGTAAGAGTGAGTCCCCTGGAGACTTTGTAAGCTTCTGCAGCTCCCTCTCTGACCAAATACAGAGTGAACCATCTTTTGCCATAGCTACTCACAATGTAGATATGGGGGGGAAGTCAAATGTAAAGAAATTGAGAGAAAATAGAATATTAATATAAATCAGAAAAACTGAATAAAATACAAATTGACTGGGTGGGCTTTAAATGTTCCCATCCAGAGACAAGATCGGTGTTTTTGGAGTTAGCCTGTGAGTTTCTTTGGAAAGAACTTAGAAATGTTCACATTCTTGAAGGATATGGTTAAAATTCAGGTTAAGAATTAACATGACCAAAGACATAAAGGGCATATGATCAAAGGATAATGAGGTATAAACAAGGAACCCCTCATAAGGAGAGTTATGAGAAAAAGATTATCTAATGAATAATGTACCTACCAGGTTGGGTTCCCCAGGTAATGGTAACAAAATCTGAGACACAGGAGGTCAAAAAATACATTTGGGATCAATTCCCTATGAAGGGAGGGAAGGGAAGCAAGATTGCTCCAAGATAGAGGTCAAACTGTGGTGTAGTCTAATCGGAGGCTTCAGCCAATCAATTGAAGTGCCAACAAGCTGAGAGATTTCTGCTGGGTACACCTCCACCTGAGGGCACAGGCATCCTTTACTCTAACATTACTTATCTCCCTATTAACAAGAACCATATGAAGTGATCCTATGTCACCATAGTCCAGCTTGAAAAAGATTTTCAATTTCATATAACTAGTTACAACAGGATTAATGACAATAAACCCCAGACTTCTTAACATCTATTGTGCACCCTTTCCATTATCACAATACCAGGTGCCAACTTTAGGTGTTCAGGTTTGTTCAGTAGGGACCAGGTATCTCCAAGAAATGAACAATGTTTTTTTGGACACTAAGTTTATGTATTTGCTTTATACAGAATTTAAGTTAATTTTTCTTTCCATAATCTTTCTTTTCTGTCTTCAAATTTTCATTTTATTCTCCTACCTCTTCCTCTGTTCCACCTAATAATTACAGTATAAGCAAAATCAACTTTTTCTTACTTCTGTAAGTGATATTTTAATGGGATAGAAGAGTTTACATTTCCAAAAATCTGTAGGAACACCTGCATAATTTGTATCCCTCATAGAACTCTCTTGCAGGAATATGCTGCTAATTTTATGATTTTCATTCTAATTCTCTCCCTTCCTGTTCTAATTATTTAAAAAATATTATTAAATAAATACTTCATTAAATAAAAAAATACTTCATTAAAATGCCAACAAACTTCTCCATTATTTTAACAAAGTTACATATCTAAAGCTTATCATAATGAGGCATATTTTCAACACGAGATGCATATCCTAAGAAAATTACTTGAGCTCTTTAAGTTTTAGGAGTTTTATTTCACATTTGAGGGACAATAGTAGAGGATTAACTTGTTAATATTGTGTATTTTTTTTTCTAATCTTTTCAAATGTGTTTAGTAATCTACCAGCTATTTAACAGCCAGGAAAAGCTTTATAGTATTGCACGAATATTTTTTGTCAAGGCAGAAGATTCATTAAATGCTTTCATTCTTACCAGGAACTCCAGGCCTCCAAAAAGTATAATACAGTTTAGTGGGAAATAGATATTGAGGCTAAAAGAAATCTTGGGTTCTGTCCCAGCTACACTCCAACTGGCAATGGTGCTGTTGGGAGGTCACTTATACTTCTGTGCCTCTGTTCTCTTACATGATTGTCATAATGCCTAAACTGTTAGCTACACCAGGTTGCTAACAACTAATAGGCTTGAAAAGAACTAACAACTAATAGGCTTGACAAAGTCAGACACACTTTCCAAAGAGTTAATAATATTCTTCTTTTTCTAATTACAGTAATTACAGTAACACAGACTTATTATAGAAAATGCAAAAAAGAATGTCTCACCACGTGAAGATAAACTATTTCTCTTGTATTTCTGTTTAATCTCATTTGTTCTTTGATAATTATTTTGTGGGAGAAGGGGATGAGATCCTATTTCTGTTACTTCAGGAGAGTAATAATGTAAACATTCCCAAATCTCCCTAATATCAAGATTGTCAATATGACCATGCAATAAAATTTCTTCTCTTACCTTAAAACTACTCCCAAATACCTGTGACATGCTTTTTGTCATAGATCCATGAGCAAAGCAAGGCTCATTGAAATATGGATGCTGAATGGGAGTCAGAGGTAACCAGATCTCTCAGTGTCTTGCTCACACATGGGCACCTGAATGCAAATCTGTAGCTCCAGAAGATTTCAAATTACCATATTTTATGGACCTTCAAACTCACTCAGAAATAACCTAACCCTCAAATACCAAATATGGGAATGTGTGTGAGACTTCTTGGGCTGCCATAACAAAATACCACAGACTGGGTGGCTTCAACAACAGAAATTTGTTTTCTCACAGTTATGGAGGTTCAAAGTCTGAGACCAAGGTGACAGTATAGTCAATTTCTGGTGAGACTTCTCTTCTTGACTGGCAGACAGCCACCTTATCACTGTGTTCTCACATAGAATCTTCTTGTATGTGTGAAGATGAGAGAGAGGAAGGGGGGGTGGGGAGAGGACTCTGGTATCTCTCCCTATATGTATGCTAACCTCATTGGATCAGGGTTCATTCTTATCACCTAATTTAATCTTAACTACTTTCTTAGAAACCCAAATACAAATATAGCCACGATGGCTTCCACATATGAATTTTGGGAGGGCACAAACATTCATCCATAACAGAAGCTAAGAATTTCCCATATACCGTTTTTTAACTTTGAAGCATAAGCATTGTTTTTGTTATAACACCATCAGAGACATAACTTTTATGTCTAATATACTCCAACAAGAGAATGTATTCTAATTTTTTTGGGCATTTTATCTCCCTGCTATTGAGCATGTAGTAAATTGTAAGGTTTTTATACTTATAAATATTAATGTAATAAAAATGTATGCCTAAAGTTTTTCCAGTATACATTATTATTTCTTCAGGATTCCAAGAAGTTAAATTAGTGAGGCAAAGGATGTGAACCTATTAAGGGCATCAGTACAGATTGTAATTTAATCTTAAAAGTGAGAAATCTACCTTCTGCTTTTAGATACAGAAGGAGAATGTTGCCTTTTTTAGAATGTGAGGCATTGTAATAGTGAAAGGTTTGAATGGGAATGAATGAGGACACTGGCTACATTGGTGTAGTTGAAAGTATTAAAGAAAAGCACTTCCTTCTCAGTGGATTTACCTAGGGTTCTAGTAATGTCAAATACATGAGCCAGATTCATGGCAGGAAAGAAATGGCACATGATAACTAGTAATTTGAAGAGATCTTAATGAGGGTATATTTATGAAGGATTAAGAAGGATTTAAGGAAACCAGCAAGGACTATTCCAGTGGTATCCCAGTATTGCTAACAGTTGGGAGCTAATACTTCTCCTCAGTAGGCAATGTGAAGAAGCCATTCCTAGAATCCGAAGGGAAGAGCTACATAGACAAGACTGTGGAACTAGGGTAAAATAGGGTAGTATGTAGATGCACTTCACATTTATAGGTGTACTTCAAAGGCTTCAACCGAGTACCTCCTTTTGTTCTTTACATCCTATGAAGGGTTGCTTCTGGGTGAATCTATTATCATTCTATTGGCATCTTGTATGTAACAAATCTTCTCTTGTTATATTATTAATGAACGTGAAATAACTGAGATCATTACATTGTTTTGTTTTGTTTTGTTTTGTTTTCCTATATTCCTCAGAAGTTCATGCACTAAACATTCTAATGCAGGTCTTTGTTCCCTTTGT